ACTTTACCCCACCACCACCCCCTTCCCTCCACTCCCCTCCCACAATGGGAGGAGTATGCGGGCGACCAAGAGCAAGAGCAGATGATGATTACTCATACAATGTAGTCTCGCGTTCTGACATGGCTCCCACTGTACGTACCAACCCCCTCCCCCCCCCCCTCCGACCACTTCTGCTCCGCTCTCTCTCTCTCTCTGCCTGTACCGCACCCTCCGACCGCCACCCGCAATGCACAACCATACCAGCGTACACACAAGTAGCTACATATGGAGAGTATTGGCAGTGGTGTGAATGGTTGTCACACAGACTACGTGTAGGCATGAGGTTGGTATTGTGTACACACACCCCCCTCCCCCCTTTGTCCCTGCTTCTTCTTCGTTGACTGGTCGGTGTCGGTACGGGTGCCACTGCCGCTGTTCTGGCACTCTGCTTGATCTGTCTGTCCTCTTGCCTGCCTGCTCTCTTGCCTGCTCTCTGGCTACTCTCTGGCTACTCTCTGGCTACTCTATCTGATCTGCATGTTCTTTTGTCTGCACTCTGGCTGCTCTTCCCGCTCTCTACCTGTTCCTCAGCTACTCTACCTGATCTGCCTGCCCGGCTACCTCGCCAGCTCGACCCGCTCGATGTCGGCAAAAGTGGGAGTCATCGACATGATACTCACAACTCCCCTCCCCATCTCTCCATTCTGTGTACAGGGAAAGAGGAAGCGCGGCCGCGGGAAGAGACACAAGCCGCTGCCTGAAGCTAGTGACAAGTACCGCATCCTTCCGCGCAAAGTCGGAGAGGGTGCATATGGTGAAGTCTTTGAAGCCATCGAGAAAGCCACGGGTGAGTCGGTGGTCATCAAGACCATCCGTCCAGATAAGGCCAATCCGGTCAAGCTGCGATCGGAGATCGAGATGCTCAAGTTGCTCGCTGATGGGCCGAACATTGTCCAACTGCTGGACACGGTCCAGGACTCCAAGACTGGCGTCCAGATGCTGGTCTTTGAGCTCGTCGACGCGCAGTACTACAAGGCTGCTTACGCCGTCATGAACTACAACGACATGCTGGTGTACATGTACAAGACGCTACTTGCACTCGCGTACACGCACGACCGCGGCGTCATCCATCGTGACATCAAAGGCGGCAACATCCTCTTTGACGTCGAGGCACACAAGCTGCGCCTCATTGACTGGGGCTTTGCTACCTTTCACTCGCCGCGCACAGTCCACCACGACTTTCCAGGCACTCGCTACTACAAGGCGCCCGAGCTGTTCCTCCGCCTCAAGTCGTACGACTACGCTTGTGACATGTGGTCGCTCGGCTGCGTCCTCGGCATGATCCTCTTCCAGCGCAACCACTTTCTCAAGGCCAAGCACAACACAGACGAGGCCCAGATGATTGCCATCGCCCGCGCCCTCGGCACAGACGACTACGCCACGTGGCTCAAAGCTGCCAAGCCCCCCATGGCCGCTTACTTTCCCGTCTCTGCCCTCAAGGCCGCAAAGTGTCCCGCAGAGCGCCAGTCGCTGTGCGACCTCTTTGGCTCCGAAGACCACAACGGGCACCTAGTCCGTGACGACGCCGTAGACTTGCTCGAGGGCCTCCTCCGCTGGGATCCTGCAGACCGCCTCACCGCCAGCCAAGCCCTTGCATCACCCATTTTTGCCCCGCTCCGCGCTCGCGACAACCTGGACACTTCGACCACCAACACCACCAACACATCGCGCTCAGACTCAAACTCGTCTATCATCAGCCCGCAGTCGGTTGTGCCCATGGTCCAGAAGCGCGAGCTCACTGGCCCGGCCGCCTGCCACCCCTCTGGCTCTCAGACCTCTACACCATCGAGCCTATCGATTCCCTCGGCTCGTCGTCGTCGTACTCATCTTCGGACTCGGTCTCCTCCACCATCTCAGCCGGCGACGTCTCCTTCAATCGCGATGCCATGGAGACTGACTCCAACTCGTACGCTTCGTTCACCTCGTCATCATAGCCATCGCCTGCTCCGATCCAAGCCGCCCTTTCCGCATCCCCCCCCCCCTCCCAATCGAGCAAATGAAAGACCACATGCCTCCAGTCCAGCGCGGGCGCTTGAAGAGCCGGCGCAGCGGTTTGTCTACACCGGGCTGGAAATGATCGACGTGCATGTGACTGAGCGGCTTTCGGCTGGTCGACCGGGTAACCACGGCCAGCGCCAGCTCTGGTCACTCGTCACTCGGCGCCCGGTGCTTGTCGCTCGGACCACCGCACTCGCCCTCCCCCCTCCCCTCACACACCATGCGTCCGCTGCTGGTCTGTGCAGTGGTTGCGCTCTGTCTTGCGCAGGTTGTGCTCTGTGTCGACCGAAGCAACTTTAAGCAGTGCAAGGACGCGTCGTTCTGCTCCCGCCTCCGGGCCACCACTCCCGAAGCCGACTCGTATGCCGTCATGCGGGAGAGCCTCCGTTTCACGAAGGGCAAGGTACGTCGCCGCCAACGATTAATTGTCGTTCCCCTACGATTAATTGTCGCTCTGCAACGATGAATTGTCGTTCCCCAATGATTATTGTCGTTCCCCAACGATTATTTGTCGTTCCCCAACGATTATTTGTCATTCCCCAACGATTATTGCTCACACTGACTCACATGCGGTCTGTGGATCCATGGTCATTGCAGCTCACCGCTGAGGTGCTCAACGAAGCTGAGGTCTCCTTCTCGCTCGAGATTGTGTTCCCGTCGACGAGGGCTGACCTCATCCGTGTCTCGTTGAGGGAGAGCACGCCGCTCGTTCCGCGGTTCGAGCCCAATGAGGCGCTGCTTGATCCTGTGGCGGCTCGGGAGACAGCCTCGCCAGAGGCGGTGGTGCTGGAGGAAGAGACCGATTCGGTGGTCGTCATCGCCCTCCCGCAACTCGGCCGCAAGCTCCGGATCGTCCTTGACCCGCTGGTGGTGACGCTCGAGGACGCCAATGGGCTCGCTCTCGTCGCGCTCAACTCGCGCAACCTGCTCGCCTTTGAGCACACCCGCACCAAGCCAGTGCCCGAGGTTGTCGGCGGCGCCGGCGAGGGTGAGGACGCCGCACCAACGCCGCAGGCGGATCAGCTCAAGGCCGAGGAGGCCGCCGGCATGTGGGAGGAGAGCTGGAAGGGGACAACCGACTCGAAGAAGCACGGCCCGCAGGGCGTGGCGCTCGACATCGACTTTCCGGCCTTCAAGCACGTCTACGGTATTCCGGAGCACGCGGCACCGTTCTCGCTCCCGGACACGACCGGCGACGAGGCGCGGTACTCTGACCCGTACCGGCTCTACAACCTCGACGTGTTCGAGTACGAGCTCGACAACGAGATGGCGCTCTACGGTGCGGTCCCGTTCATGGTTGCCCACTCGGCCGCCGGCTCTGTGGGAGCGCTCTGGCTCAACGCCGCCGAGACCTTTATTGACGTCACGACGCTCGGTGGTGGCGGGCGCGGCTCGCGGTGGATGTCGGAGACTGGGGTCATCGACGTCTTCCTCATGGTCGGCCCTGCGCCGGCCGACGTGCTGGCGCAGTATGCGGGTTTGACCGGGGCGGCGGCGCTCCCGCCGGTCTTCTCGATCTCGTACCACCAGTGCCGGTGGAACTACCGCGACGAGGACGACGTGCGAATGGTCGACGCGAAGTTTGACGAGCACAACATCCCGTACGACGTCCTCTGGCTCGACATCGAGCACACCGACGGCAAGCGGTACTTTACGTGGGACGCGACCAAGTTCCCGGCGCCCAAAGCCATGATCGACGGTCTCGCCGCCAAGGGCCGCAAGATGGTCACCATCATCGACCCGCACATCAAGCGCGACAACAACTACTACGTCTACCGCGACGCCTCGGCCGCCGGCCACTTTATCAAGGACGCATCTGGCTCCGAGTACGACGGCTTCTGTTGGCCGGGCTCCTCGGCCTGGCTCGATCTCGTCTCGCCGGCTGTCCGCGACTACTGGGCCTCACTCTTTGCCTTTGACACGTACGTCGGCTCGACGCCGACCCTCTTTACGTGGAACGACATGAACGAGCCGTCGGTCTTCAACGGGCCCGAGATCACCATGAAGAAGGACGCCATCCACTTTGGCGGCTGGGAGCATCGCGACGTCCACAACATGTACGGCATGCTCTTCCAACGCTCCACCGCCGCTGGCCAGCTGGCCCGCTCTGGTGGCAAGGCCCGCCCGTTTGTCCTCACCCGCTCGTTTTTTGTCTCGTCGCAACGCGACGGCGCAGTGTGGACCGGCGACAATGCCGCAGAGTGGTCGCACCTCGAGGCATCGGTCCCCATGCTCCTCTCGCACTCGATTGCAGGCATCCCGTTCATCGGCGCCGACGTGGGTGGCTTCTTTGGCGACGTCGAGCCTGAGCTCCTTGCCCGCTGGTACCAGGCCGGCGCCTTCCAGCCCTTCTTCCGTGCCCACGGCCATCTCGACACCAAGCGCCGCGAGCCGTGGCTCTTTGGCGAGCCGTACACCTCGATCATCCGCTCTGCCATCCGCGCCCGCTACGCCTACCTCCCCTACCTCTATACCCTCTTTGCCGAGGCCTCGCGCACCCTCGCCCCGGTCATGCGCCCGCTCTGGTGGCACTACCCGGATCACGCCCCGCTCTTTGACCGCGACTCGGAGTTTATGCTCGGCCGCGCCCTGCTCATCGCTCCGGCCACCGCCCCGGGCGTCACCTCGGTCACGGCCTACCTTCCGCCCGGCGCATGGTACGACGTCCGCGACTTTGCCATGTACCAGGGCGGCCAGCTTGTCCCGCTTGACGCTCCACTCGAGTCGATTCCGGTCCTCCAGGCTGCAGGCACCATTGTGCCCAAGAAAGAGCGCGCGCGCCGCAACTCGGCCGCCATGGTCCTCGACCCCTTCACCCTCGTCGTCGCCCTCGACGCCGCAGGCTCTGCTCGCGGTGAGCTGTACCTCGACGACGGCGCATCGACTGACCACGCCGCAGGCGCTTGGACCTCGCGCCACTTTTCCATGGCCAGCGGGATGCTCACCTCGACCCGCGCCCCAGGCGCGCCCGAGTATCACACGCCCGAGGCCATCGAGCGCATCGTCGTCCTCGGCATGCCCGCCCCGGCCGCCATCACCCTCAACGGCGACTCGCTCTCGTTCACCGTCGATCCAACCTCTGGTGCCGTTACCATCCGCAAGCCGGACGTGCTCGCCATCGACGACTGGACCATCGTCTTTGCTTAATCATGTTGATGTAGCGGTACACGCCGTAGTTAGAGATCAAGCAAAAGAACCCGGAGATCCAAGAGTGCGAGGTCAAAGTGGAGTCGCTGATCTCCGGCTCGCGCACTCGCGCACATTCCACCCCACCCCCCACACACACACATGCACACACAAACATACACCCGAAAATGCCGCAGAGCGGGGGTCGTAGACGGCGTTGCGTCATCGAACGTCGCGCTCATCGCGGGCGGGTGGAAGGCCGTCGTCGCCACCGACGCGCGCTTGTTCCACGAGACGTTCGCTGGGCGCGCAAGATGAGCGAGGCGGGTGCGGAGAAGAAGGCGCTCGGCGACGCAGCCAAGGCGGAGGAGCGGGCGCTGGAAGTTGCGCGGCGGTGGGTCAAGAAGGCCGACGACGCGGTGATGGCGGCAAAGCAGATGCTCGATGAAGCCGCCAGGGCCTCGGCCAAGGCTTGGAAGGCGAAGCGCAAGGCTCGGAAGGGGCGCCGTGGTAAGGCGAGCGAGGCTCGCGCAACAACGCGTCCGAACGACCGCACCATTAAGGGTTAAAACTGGCCGTTTACACATGCGTGTCGCGCTACGCCTTGTTCATCGCTGGAGCGGGCGCAGCATGCTGGGTGTACGCCGGCAGGCCCGGCGGCGGGGCCTGACCGTAGCTCCCGTAGCCGTACGCCGGCGCCGGTGCGCCACCGTACCCAGGCTGGCCAAGTAGCCGGAGCCGAGCCTCCTCGCGCGCACGCTTCCGCTTGTTGATCGGACAGCATGAGCAGTAGTGGCAGCAGCAGCAGACGCCGCCAGTGATGCATGCGATGCCGAGCACAACCATGCCGATGGTAAAGGCAATGCCCGCACCCGAGAGCTTGACATCGCACGTGTTTCCGGAATCGTCCTTGACGTCGATGGCCCAGTTGCCGTACACGCACTTGTGGCCAAAATCAGAGGTCGTGCAGCACTTGAGGTCGTTGTTGCCGTCCTTGGCGTCGCACAGCAGTTTGCACGTTGTCGAGTCGGCCGGATAGCCAAGAGTCGGCGTGGCGAGGAAGACAGCCATGGCCACCACGGCCAGGACAAGCGTAATATGGGTCATCTATATGGTCGTAGCAATTGCTGTGGTGAGTACGAGTCGGGTGAGTGCCACAAGTCGCCCGTGCGTCTCCGATACGGGGCGGTGGGCGTGGAAGGTCGGGGGATGGAATGGCGCATGTGCGAGTTTTGTGTTTGGTTGCCTTTTTGCGACTCTTTGGCCGGCTTTTCCCCCCTGCTGCACGCACGCCGCCATCAAGTCGGGAGTTGGGAGGAGAACAGAGAGAGGGAGTGTGTGTTGATCTTGACTTTGATCCTTATCTTGATCTCGATCTCGATCTCGATCTCGATCTCAATCTCAATCTCAATCTCAATCTCACCTCGATCCCAACAAGCACGAAAACGGGAGTGGCCGAGGTCGGACGTGGGGCGTGCTGTTGCTGGAGGCCGGCAGACTACGTGATGGCTCGCTTTACTGCTTGTTGACAGAGGCAGACTGCGGGGTGTACGCCGGGCCGGCAGAAGGGACGGCATGCTGGTTGTACGCCGGCAGGCCCGGCGGTGGGGCCTGACCGTAGCTCCCGTAGCCGTACGCCGGCGCCGGTGCGCCACCGTACCCAGGCTGGCCAAGTAGCCGGAGCCGAGCCTCCTCGCGCGCACGCTTCCGCTTGTTGATCGGACAGCATGAGCAGTAGTGGCAGCAGCAGCAGACGCCGCCAGTGATGCATGCGATGCCGAGCACAACCATGCCGATGGTAAAGGCAATGCCCGCACCCGAGAGCTTGACATCGCACGTGTTTCCGGAATCGTCCTTGACGTCGATGGCCCAGTTGCCGTACACGCACTTGTGGCCAAAATCAGAGGCCGTGCAGCACTTGAGGTCGTTGTTGCCGTCCTTGGCGTCGCACAGCAGCTTGCACGTTGTCGAGTCGGCCGGATAGCCAAGAGTCGGCGTGGCGAGGAAGACAGCCATGGCCACCACGGCCAGGAAAAGCGTAATATGGGTCATCTATATGGTCGTAGCAATTGCTGTGGTGAGTACGAGTCGGGTGAGTGCCACAAGTCGCCCGTGCGTCTCCGATACGGGGCGGTGGGCGTGGAAGGTCGGGGGATGGGTTGTTCTTGGTTGCCTTTTTTCATTGGCACTCCTTTTAGCGCGCTGGCAGTAGCTGCATGGCCACGGCCAAGTCAAGGGGGGGGGGGAGGGGAGATGACATCTCGATCTCTGTGGATATCTCGATTTTGATGACAGTTAGCCCCAGCCGCGGAACCGACGGAGCGAGCCAAAGAACGGAGGCGGGCGGCCGGTGTTGAGGGCCATGTTGCGGCGGGCAACGTAGCAGAGGTACATGAGCGGGCAGGTGAGGAAGACTGCGGCGATGACGAGGGCGGCACCGGCAAAGACAAGGTTGAAGCCGACCATTTCCGGGTAGCCGCGCCGCGGTGGCATGGACACATCCTCGATGCGGAGAACGAGAGAGCGCGGGGAGCCTGGGAACTCAGCTGTGGCGTCGTCGATGGCACCACTCCAGCCTGGGCCGGCGTACGACGGGATGACTGAGTGGAGGGTCATGCCGATGACTGAGTCTGCGTAAACGACCTTGGCGGTGATACCGGAGAGCGGGACGATAGTGGTGCGGCCGGAGTCATAGTCGGGCGTCGAGGCGTACCAATGAATGGGGCTGGAGACGCCAGCGACCTCGACCTCGGCCACAGCGGCGAGGTCGTAGGGCGGAAAGAGGACCTGCTCGACGGTCGCCTCGTGCCACTCTTGGCTGTACGCCGTGTGCGAGAGCGTGAACAGGCCGGCAGAGCCCATGCGTGGGTCCTTGAGCGACCGCTCCGAGTGGGTCTGGAGATTGAGCGAGTACACGGTGCCGTCGACGCCAATGGACGAGGACGAGCCGCCGCTGCGGTAGTACCTATCGTGCCAGGCCTGGATTCCAGGGAGTGTCTGGCGAAAGGCATTGATCATATCGCGGGTGTCCTCGTCCACCACGGACGTTGGGTACACGCCGACCACAATCCAGGTCACCCCCATTAGCAGCAAGCCTACAATGAAGACCACGCCAACAGCCAGTCGCATCCGGCCTTGTTCTGCACTCCATACATTGAGGACTAATCTCGGTCGATGAGCCATAATTCCATTAGTACGTGTCCATCATGTCCAGCATGTCCACCACGTCCACCACGTCCACCACGTCCACCACGTCCATCATGTCCAGCATGTTCATGTCCAGCATGTCCACCACGTCCACCACGTCCATCATGTCCAGCATGTTCATGTCCAGCATGTCCACCACGTCCACCACGTCCACCACGTCCACCACGTCCACCACGTCCACCACGTCCACCACGTCCACCACGTCCACCACGTCCACCACGTCCACCACGTCCACCACGTCCACCACGTCCACCACGTCCACCACGTCCACCACGTCCACCACGTCCACCACGTCCACCACGTCCAGCATGTCCACCACGTCCATACCCCCTCACAACAATAAGTACACCATCCCCACACCCCTCTCGCCATCCTGTTTTCCTTGCCCATACCCCCTCCCACCCTAATACCTACACTTGTATCCGCCATCCCCATCACCACCACCACCACCACCATTGCCAGGGCCTCCTCCAGTGCTGACTTCGCCAGGCCCAGCCTCACCCGGCACCACCCCCATGCCCTCGCGCTGTTCAACATGCTCCATGCGCACCTCTGTGGTGGTCATGGTATAGAAGGAGAGAATGGGTGGAAGGGTGAAAGAGAGATGTGCTCCGTACTCCCGTACCCTGGGCACGAGCCCTGTCCTTGCCTTCGGGTCGTCTCGCTGCGCGCGAACTTGTCGCTTGTCGTTTGGCGCGCGCCTGCCGGCACCTCGGTGCCGAAATGAGATGAAGGGTCAGAGCACGAGAGAAGGCTACTTCTACATACTTAATTACGATGTATGAGGGGGCCTACGACGACTGAGTAGCGTAGTAGATGCGGGCAGACTCCTTGGCCTCAGCAGCCTCGCGGCGGATGTCTGAGGCGGCGCGCTGCTGGGCAAACGAGTGGACGACCGAGAGGGCAAACCAGCCGATGAAGGCGATCATGACAACCGACCAAAGCCTGGCCAGCAGCGGCGCGGGCGGTGCGGTCGGCGACGAGGCGGTAGCGGTGGCGGCGCCATCGGCGCCGGGCATGAACCGGGCGCGCTGCTTGAGGAACGCCTCGTTGACCTTCTCGTCGATGTTCCACGCCTCGGGCGTGAACCGCTCCACAAACCGGACCAGCACATCGAGGTACTCCTTGCGGAAGATGGTGATGAAGAAGAGAGCCTGTCCGTTGACCTTGATGAGGGCCTTGCCGATAAAGGTGGCGCCGAAAAAGACCCAGAACGGAATGAGAAAGTGGCCGCAGGCGAGGCCGCACAGGTCAAACGCCATGTTCGGCCAGGCCGCAAAGGCCAGGATGGCCCAGAACCCGTACTTTTCCAGCGAGACAAACATCCAGTCCCGCATGGCGTTGACCACCGACGACGCCGACTCGTTCTCGATCCACTCGTCAAGCTCCTCGTTGGCCTCGCCGGCCAGCCGGGCCGCCCGCGACACTGCGTACGGCGGGATCTCGCCAATAGCTGTCCCGGCGCCCCACAGCAGGCACGGCCATGCCACCATCTGCCACAGGCCGAGGAACGAGACCGGGTACGCGGCGGCGCCCGCCGAGCCAGGCTCGGAGAGGCACTCGAGATCGGCGGTACTAAAGTGAAGCGACTCGCACGCCGACGCCGTCATGCACACCTTGGCAATGTGTGGGAAAAGGAAGAGAAGGCCCGAGTGCATGCCCGTGCCCAGCCCCACTGATGAGAGCACGCCAAGTCCAACCCACCAGACGACCAAGACAATCTCGGACAGGATGGAGTCCACGAGCGAGGAGTGCGGCCCAGGGATGAGCCAGCCGAGAGCCAGAAGAAGAGCCACCGGGACCAGACCAAAGACAAAGGCAGGATGAGCAGCAATAGCAGCAAGTAGAGAGTGAGCATACTCGCCAGCAACTTGGGCGAACAATGTCATCGTTCGCAGTGGTGCACGGAAGACGGTCAACTTGCGCGACTCGGCCACAGCGCCCCGGACGGCCTCATCAAGCTCAGCTTCATACTCGGCAAAGGTGTTCGGAACTCCAGGCGTCGGTACTCCAGACGCAAGCATACTGAATACTATTTCACCTCTCCTCCTTCTCTGTCTCTTTCTCTTGGTTGAGTTCAGAGAGCGAGTCGAGTGTGGCGACCTCGGGTGTGTGACCTCGCCTTTGCCTGCTGCGGGTGACGTGGCCTTCGTCATTCGTCATTCCGGCCGAACAACAACAATCATTGGCTCATGCATTAATTGACGCTGCTCCTCTGCCGGGTGATCATACTCCAGGTAGGGGGAGGGAGGGGGGGGGGGGGCGGGGGGACGACGTGGACTGTTGTCACGTCCG